ATCGCCAGATGAAGTGTGCTAACTGGCCATCTGGGAAACTTACGCGATGTGGAGGGACGGAGAAAACGGGACTCGAGCGTAATGTGTGCCGTAACTAACACTCCGCTATTAAACACCGTGTTTACTTAGGTGAAGGGGAGGATTTCTCTAGAGGAAAACTAGTAAACGCTTAATGTGTCGCGAATAGGTGAGTTACAGGCTGGTCTCAGATCTTCCAGTCTGTCAACGCTCGAGCGCTGCGGCCATAATGCACAGAAACAAACGGCAGCGCGCTCGCCCTTGCACGAGGTCTCAGGGATAAGAGGCCAATCCTAGAGATGGCAAAAAAATCTATGTTAAAAAAATCACATCTGTATTCAATAAAAATCACAATAACATGGATGTTATGCTTTCGGTGTTTTTTCAAGATCCACATATTTGTTCAGAAACATCGATGTTTTCAAAAAAACTTTTCTCAACGTATAAATAAAAGTTCTGCAGTAACTAATTCTGTAGTGAACTGCTCGCAATCAAAAACCATTCTCTTCATTAACTGTTGTCAATCCTCAGGCGGCACAAAAGCGTTTGCTATTCGCAATATTTTCCCAGTGTTATTACGTTTTTAAATTATTTTTACGTGGTAATATTGTTAAATTGTATTTTGAACCTTGACTACATAGAACATTGATTAGAAAATTAAGAGACAGTCAAATTCAAGGAAGAATACATATTAAACTAATATTGACATGTTCTGCATCACAATAGAACGAGGACATTATACTTTGATGTTTCATCGTAAGGGAGAGTTGCACCGCAGAGTGTACAGCAATTGACTGCAATGTTGATGTGCGCATGCGCAGATGCACGAAAGTGATGATAAAGTTGAACTGCGCATGCAGAGAAGAAAGCTCACGAAAACGGAACTAGTCCGATTTTTAAGTTGAACTCTGAATTTTCGAAATTTTCAACAGTTACAAATAACGTGAGAAAGAATGTGCTGTCGTATCACTAGTATATTTTATTGGTTGAACTATATGAATAACACGAAGTAATGTATACGTGACATAATAGCTGTAACTAGCCAGCTTGTCGATGCAAGTGAGATTGGTTGATTTGTCCTGGTGTGAGAAAACGGAGTGCGGTTCAATTCGCACTGCGTTGCTGCAACTGGCTCGGGTTAGGGAGACAGCTAAACATCAACTCACACTGACAGCCGTTTGTTCCAAAATGAATAGTACAGAAAGATCTGGTTACATCTTACAACCAATTGGTGCCCCCACTCTCGTGGGGCGCCCCCACTTACACATCCGCTGCCTGGAGGGCAGGCGCTCTTACGCAGTTGTTCTCACTTTCGAGAGAGCTCACGTACACAATGGTGCACACGTGCCCTAGTGTCCACGTGTTTGTGGATTGCAAAACTACATCTTAGCCGCCATTTTCTGAGTGCTGTTTCTTAATATGCTGAACAATATTTATAACTACTTTAGAATTTATAGGTGGTTTCCGGCTGCTCGAGATGCGGTACTTCGGCTGATGTGGTCACAGTGGTGTGAGGCACAGCTGAGGGATATAACTAGTGTACTAACGAAATAATTATATGCGTCGCGACGCATATAATTATTTTATTGGAAATGCCATTGTTAAATCACCACAATACCTATAGTGTACTAGCACCTTTTCATAGGTACCCAAGAACAAAAAAGCCCGTCACGTTGATCACAACGCACCTGTGCAACACGAGGACGTGCTCTGCGATGCAAGGCAACTACCCTATTTAGAACGAGAGAGGCCGCTTTCTCTCCGTCAAGGCCGTTATGAGATTTTTAAAGCATATCGCCACGTGGTTGCGTTGACAGCGCCCCTCCTCCTCCCCCACGTTAGTGGAGACAGCCCATGCGCAAAGGAGCCTTCGAGTAAAACTTCCCAGCATCACCCACTTTGCAGTGCCGCAATCTGTCGTATATTAACGCTTAGCAGATTTAATAAAACCCATTTCACCATGTTAGATGGAAGGAAATATACACTCACACACCACACAGAGTCGTCAAGGATCGTGTTGATTCGCCCTCCGAGCATTAATGAGTCCTAAACAATCCCTGCAGGTGGTCTTAGGCTTCAAAATTGGCACACAGCGTTAAACATCCTCGAGCACACATTTTTTGCGTCAAGTTAAAAAAAAAGGCACGTACGTAATTGTATTATCAGAAAACTTTTATCCTTTTCCAAATTCTACAATTCCTGGATACGTTCATAGAATATAGCCTTTGGTCACGCTAATTGTACCAACACAAGTGACTTTTTCAGCTGCCCCAACGCCGCATCTGTCTCTGATATTTTTGTGCCTGTTTTGTGTGATAAGGTTTGAGAAACATGAAGAGCAGTAGATGTCTGTATTAAATATGTACTTGAAATGGAATGTATTACGTCGCAAGCGAAGAGAGTGGATGAAATGCAGTGTGTTGCAGGATGAGTGGGAAATATCCATTTTCATACTTCTCTATAATGAACGACTTTTCAAGTTTGTATGAACAAATTTAGGTTAGAGAATGTAGACTTACGAGCATAAATAATGTGGACTGCTTGAAGATTGCAAACCTCGGCAATTTCTCCACATCTTGGTACACTCAGTTCATACGGTTTTTTCTTTTCGGCTCCCATCTATGATCACACCCGCGGGGATGTCGGATCGCACGCAGTTAGCGAACAAAAAATATAAACTCACGACTCTTCGAAGTCGCGCCGGCTGCAGCTAGCTCAGTTGCTCATAGCATACCGAGATGTGCTTGCCGGGCACGGTCGCATCGTGTTGTGTTTATCTTACAGTCGCGCCGCAGAATCTTCCGCGCGCCAGTCAACGTCCCTGCATCGAACAACCGCTGCAGCGCCTGCAATTGGCGATTGCGCGGTCGGCGGCTGCGACAGAAAGAGAGAGTAGCGTCGCGCGCCTGCCGAACATCGAATTCCTGGCGGCGCGCGGCGGCATTGTTGTCCATTCGACGCCGCCCCGTGCCGCCTG